CTCCTCAAACGCTTTGCTGCTGAGCATTTCAGCTAGACCCTCACAGCACCAAGCAGTGCTTTGCACTGAAGGTGGGCAGGTTGCACTCCCAAAGCCAGTGTTTCTGAGGGCACCAGATTCAGTGATGGATTTTGTACCTCTCCATGTACTGGGTGAACCAATGCCACGTGGTTTTGTCCTGTCTTCCACTGAGGAGAGAGGAAAACAAACACAGCTTATTCACTGGCCAGAAGATGACACTAAATCTTCAGCTGGAGCAGAAGGGCTTGAGTGTGAGGTTTCCTGGTGTGGTCCAGCAGAGATCGCTTTGGTCTCACGTAGGAAAAAGGTATCTTGGTGAAGATGGTGAGTGTGCTGGCACCAGGCAGCTGCACGTCTTATGTTGTTCTCTACCAGGTCTGGCTTCCAACGTGGTTCCCATGTTCCTTGGAGAAATATCCCCAAAAAACCTGAGAGGTGCAATTGGGGTCGTACCCCAGCTCTTCATCACCGTTGGGATCCTTATAGCTCAGGTCCTTGGTCTCAACAGCATCCTTGGAAATGCCAAAGGTAAATTCCTGGCTCGGGACTTTCTTGTGGACCCCACAGGGGGAAGGTGTCTCATAGCTGTTATCTTATCTTGCTGTTACAGGCTGGCCCGTGCTGCTGGGGCTCACTGGGATCCCATCACTAATTCAGCTCCTGATATTGCCCTTTTTCCCTGAGAGTCCCAGATACTTGCTGATACAAAAGGGCAATGAAGAGCAAGCACGACGAGGTACAGTATCATCCTTTAGTGGAAGGGGGGTGGAAGGGCATAGATCTGTGGGACATGACTGCCAGCAGACAAAAGTGATGCAAACAAGTGTGAAAAACTCCACTGATGGAATTCCTGCAACATTGCTCCTTTGTCTGCATGTGTAATCCCTGACTTCCCACCATGGAAGCACTAATGCCCATGGTAGGAACAGTGTTCTGCCTTGATCTGAAGCAGGAGAGCTCACTGTAGACCTGCTCTCTGGGATCTGTAACTCACCTTCCTCTCCCAACTAGCTCTGCAGAAGCTGAGAAGCCGGGATGATGTGGATGATGAGATACAAGAAATGCGCCAAGAAGACCGGTCAGAAAAGGAGGAAGGACAGTTCTCTGTATTCAGCCTGTGCACCTTCAGAGGCTTGAGATGGCAGCTCATCTCCATCATCGTCATGATGATGGGCCAGCAGCTCTCGGGGATCAATGGGGTGAGTGGGAAGGCACATGGGAAAAGCCAGTGGATGTGTAATAAAGGGATGGGGCTTTACAGATGATGTGGGGTAGTGCTGACCCAAACCAAGTGCACACAAGTACACTTGGTTACAGTTAGTCCAGTTAAGGGTAGTTTGGACATTTTTCAAGTCAGGTGCTTGTGCCAGGATCCAAACACCAATGTCCAGAAATGAAAGAATCCAGTTCTCAGGCTCCTGTGCACCAGTTCCAGGGTGCAAAAGCAGCCAAAATGGGATTCCCATGTTCTGCCTTTGGCGCCATGTAAACACAGCTCTGGTTTTGCTGCAGGTCTTCTACTATGCAGACAGAATCTTCCTGTCGGCAGGAGTGGATGACAATAATGTTCAGTATGTCACTGTGTCAATAGGTGCCATCAACGTCGTCATGACCTTGCTTGCTGTAAGTTTCTGTTAGGGCTTGTCAAGTTCTGGCTTGCCCAGTTTCCCCTGTTGGTCACTGGTTAAACTGGGTTATGTTATTTACACGTACTGTGAGCTGCTTGGCACAATAGGTGCCTTGGAGTGGCCCTTGTTGAAGGCAACTACATTAACCAAAGTGATCGACCATCAGCAGATGGTGGCAATGTCACTGAATTTCTTAAAGGACAAAGACTATCTCAGTAAGTTTTGCTGGAATAAGTGCTGTCCCCCACGTGTCTGGTCTCTCACCCTCTTCTGTCTCTTTCAGGTTTTCATTGTGGAATCCTTGGGAAGGAGAATCCTCCTCCTTGCTGGCTTTGGATTGTGCTGTGTCTCCTGTGCAGTGTTAACTTTGGCCCTCAATCTCCAGGTGTGTAGCTGGATGGCTCAGGTGATCTTGTCCATGCATTTCTGGACTGCCCAGGGAACCACTGGTATATGTTGAAGTTGCTTCTACACCCTGGGAGGGAAGGGATGATATGAAAGGTCTCTGTACTTGTATATTTACCTAAAGTAAAGCCAGGAAGAACTACAATTCTGCTTGTCTGAATACTGCACATCATGTTCATAATACCTGTTGCATCCGTTTGTTGGAAGCAAGGGTCATACCCAGGCTATGGTTTCTTTGGCTAAGTGTTGGACGTATCTGGCGATGGAGGGTGATGCTGGCTTTAGCACCCCTTCAGATCTTACTACAGATAGTGCTTTGAATGTGTTGGTGATGCTGAGATAGGGACCACTTGTAATCTGTGATTAAATTCTTCCCAGACCACTGTCTCCTGGATGTCTTACCTCAGCATAGTGTGTGTCATCATTTACATCATTGGACATGCTATTGGAGCCAGTAAGTATGCACAGTCTGGTCCTGTCTCCTCCACAACCTGGGAAAGCCAAGTGTTAAGTTCAATGTCAAACCAAAAGCTTTGTGGAGATAGAATTTCTTCTCTGTGTGGCCAGGGATTGTCAGCTAGGCTTATTTATGTTCCAGTGAGTAGCTGGCTGTGTCTCTGAGGCAGGGGAGCATCTGGCTGTCAAGAGGAGAAGAGTAAAGGCACAATTGTGCATGTGCCTGATATTCCCCAAGCAAGACCAGGAGCAAAACAATGCTGAGCTAGTGAGCCCTACCAAGCTGGGCAGAGATGCGGCATGCTTGCATCTGCGGGCAACACATCAAACGAGAAGCCATTCAAATTACACACATGGCCCTGCAGATGACTTTGCAGAAAGGAGATGTGCAGATAAATGTGGATATTGGGAAGGCTTTGTCCTGACTCCGCTTCTCAGCATGGTGGAGTTGCCTGGTTAGCTTGGAAAGCCCTGCCAGCCTCTGGCTGGATGCAGCAAGGTAGAGGTTTTCCTAGCAGATGGAATTGCATACAACCTTTCCTTCTCCATTTATGCCATCAGGCAGATTCAAGCACTAAGGGCAGGGACATTGCTGGAGGAGGGGGAACACCAGGTCTTCGGGACCTGTGGCCTCACCCTGTTAATGAAAACACAGTCTGTTTCTTGCTCAAAGAGCAGGTCTGGCTTAGTTGCTGTTCATGGGGTGCTCTCTGGAGAGACAGTTTGTGTTTACCAATCCTATTTTACAACTTATGCTGGAGATGGGTTCATGGCTGAGGTGCAGCCATAGGAGAGGTTGGTTGCTGTGTGTGAGCTTAGGCAAGTCATTTAAACACCCTCTGTTTTCTTAATTTAATCCCTTATTTGATGTATTGGGTGTTATTAAATACTAGTAGTTTAGAAACTATTGCCTGCCACTGAGATGGACAGTGTAACCTGGGAATTCAGAGCGGGGGAATTGCCTCTGGGATTTCCAAACATGCAACTATCTTCCAGGTCCAATTCCCTTTGTGCTGATCACCGAGATGTTCCTGCAGTCCTCCCGGCCTGCAGCGTTCATGGTGGGTGGGTCTGTGCACTGGCTGTCCAACTTCACCGTGGGGCTCGTGTTCCTCTACATGGAGGTAAGATGCAATCACACAACAGGGCAAGACTTCAGCTTAAATTTAGTATCCTTACCCCTTCTTACAGAGAGCCCTTTAATCCTGAGAGCCGTAAGTGCCCTAGTTGGTCCCCAATACCTGTATGCAGGATTATATATTAAGGACAAGAAGGTGATGTTAGTCAGCATTTCCGTATCACATCTATCTGTTGCACATGGTTTAAAAGAAAGCAATTAATTTTCCATGTGAATGTCTAATCTGGAATTCAGGAGCATGGACCAGATTGCAAATTCCCAGTCTTAGCTTTTGCTCTCTAGGTCAGCATTTCAAACAGGTCTCCACCAACTGCAACTGCTGCAGTTGGTGATTTTAGCTTGTGCAAAGGGTGAGTTTAGTTTGATTTCTGTACCAGACCCTCACCCTCCTTTTCCAGTAAACCAATAGTGGTTTCCAATAAATCCATGGTGGTGGTATGAGAAGACAGAATCTAGAACCACCCCTAACTTCTAGTTGTTCAACTTCAAATACGTGCACATTTGATAGCTATTGCAGGGTTCAGCATGTCTAAATCATGTCAAGTATGTAACTGGAGTGTTCTGATCCCTGCTCTGTCGTCTTTCACTGCCCTAGGCTGGACTGGGGCCCTACAGCTTCCTCATCTTCTGTGCCATCTGCCTCGCCACTATGGTTTACATCTTCTTCATTGTTCCTGAGACTAAGAACAAAACCTTCATGGAAATCAACAGGATCATGGCCAAGCGGAACAAGGTGGAAATTCAGGAAGACAAAGAAGAGCTTAAGGATTTCCAGGCCGTCCCAGGTGGACAAGGAGGGAAGAAGGAAATCTCCAGCCGTGAGCTGTGACCCAGCCCAGTGTTTGGTCCAGACATTTTCCAGGATCTATTCAGTGGGAGAACAAATACATGGATTATTTTTTTGATACTGATCTTCATTCAGACCTTCTGCCAGCTTTCCACAGCAGGAGTTTCTAATAAGCCATTGTGTCTTGAGAATGTTCTCATTGTAAGTAATCCAACCCAAACCATGGAATGGTTGGGTCGGAAGGGACCTTAAAGCTCATCCAGTTCCAACCCCTGCCATGGGCAGGGACACCTTCCACTAGAGCAGGTTGCTCCAAGCCCCTGTGTCCAACCTGGCCTTGAACACTGCCAGGGATGGGGCAGCCACAGCTTCTCTGGGCACCCTGTGCCAGCGCCTCAGCACCCTCACAGGGAAGAGTTTCTGCCCAAGAGCTCATCTCAGTCTCCCCTCTGGCAGGTTAAAGCCATTCCCCTTGTCCTGTCCCTACATCCCTTGTCCAAAGCCCCTCTCCAGGTTTCCTGTAGCTCCTTTAGGCACTGGAGCTGCATTAAGGGCTCCCCTTCAGGAGCCTTCTCTTCTCCAGCTGCCCCAGCCCAGCTCTCTCAGCCTGGCTCCAGAGCAGAGCTGCTCCAGCCCCCAGAGCATCTTTGTAGCCTCCTCTGGACTCGCTCCAACAGGTCCATTAACAAAACCATTCTGCTTCATGGCATAGCCACCACCAAGGCAAACTACCCATTGAGAGTATTTGTAACATGGAAAGGGAAGCATCCTCAGCCAGCTCAGTTTCTGTGATCAAACAACCTGTGTCATGAGGAGATGTATGTTCCTGATGTCGTGACACAAGCCAGCAGTTGGACTGGATTTTGGTCAGTTGTGTGCAAGGAGTGCACTATATTTCTCTGAGGAACTGCCAGGCCTTTGCTCTGGGGTGGAGAAAGCATCAGTTCTTCTCAGGTACTTTGTTAGATGGGCTGGTGATGGTATTTATCCTGTCAACACTTCTGTGTGCTCCAAAGGACCACTACATTGGAAATGCATATCACTATAGCCTCACACCGACCCTGCTCACACAGCTCCCTCCTTCAAATCAAACCTACTCCTCAGCTGTTGCTGATACTCCTTCCAGAGCCTTGTTCTTGAGTTTAGGAGTCATCCACCTGGCTGGTGCACATTCAGGACCAGTTTATACCCGTTTGTTCCAGTGGCGCTCTAGTTTTTGAGCTATGTAGCTCAATTCACTCCCTAGTGTTTACACTTCAGTTGTCGAAGAGTGATAGTCCCTCTCTTAATCCTTTAATAACCCCTTTATCACTACTGTGTATGCATGAGTCAGCTGAAGCTCATTCAGCCCCACAAATAGATGGCATTGAACTTAGGAAGAACCTCCCTGCTGCATAGCAGGAGTCAAATTCAGGTTGATTCCTGTGCAGTGGGCTACAGGTTGGAGCCTGTGTTTGCAAACAGGTCCAAGCTTGTCTTTATCTTCTCACATTGAGTTGCTTAAATCTAGTTTTTGAAATAACTTGGCTCTCAGGTACTTGAAACCACTTGAAAAAGTCTTCAGGTGGTTCAGAGCTTGGTCCTTCTGCTGGTTTCTGCTTATGTTCCCTAAGGGCACCATTTCACCTGAAGGCTAAATTGGTTTGGAAAAGCTTTGAGTCTAAGGACTAGTGCTGAAGAAAGTAAAGTGCACACTGATAAAAACTGAGGGTTTCTTGAAATATTTTACTTTAAGGGGATTTGGGGTTAATTGGGGCAAAATTTAACATGGGAAATTAACTGTTATGTGGCATTGCTGCCCTCTGTTTTAAAAAGAGCAGAACTGTTGAACAGCCCGGCATGGATTTTGTGGTGGTGTCGGAGAGTCCTTCACATGATTCACTTAGAAAATGGGGTTTATACCTGCCCTCAAGCTTGTGATGTATTCATGCTGAAGAAGCTGTTTCCATTTACAGAAAAGAAGGGATGCCACTGACCAAAGCTCACTGACTGCAGGAGCCACATTCTGTCCTCCAAGGGCTTTACTTGCCCTTTCCGGCGTGATGTCTGAAGGGGAAAGGGTGGTGATTTGATGGTGAGAAATGGGAAGGAAGGATGCGTGCAGGGAAGATTCTGAGAAACTGAGACTGGGTGAAGGATGAGAGAAACTTTATTTGAGAAAGTGGCTCCTTTGGCCCAAGAGAGCAGCTCTTTGGCATGTAGGAAGATCTGTGTATGGGGGACCTCAATCAAACTCCTGGCAGGGATGTGACAATGCAAGGTGCCATGTTCTGTCTGTTCTCTGTCTCTATCCCACTGCTGGAGGCTTTGACCTCTTGGAACAACAAGCTGGAACACCAGCAGGTGCATAGTGAGCCTATGCAAAGTAGAAGGAGAAACAAACAAATCATCTAAGTTTTAATGTTTCCTCAGCAAGCACTTTGGATTTTTGTGCTGCCTTAATAAAAAAGGAAAAAAAACCAAATTGGGGTCACTGACAGCTGGTGTCAGGCTCCAGAACTACCCCCCCCAAGAGGGTCATGGGGGTTTCTCCCCATGCTATGATGTCTCCCTTCATGTGTCCTGGTTTGCACAGTGCAAGTGCCCGAATATCTAGAGGACTGAGAACTTGGCTCCACAGGTTCACGTGGGTCATCCACCCTGCAAAACCATTGGAGAATGTCCCAAGAAGAGTGTCTCTATCTTTCCCAAGGACAAGTGTCCCTCCAGCCTGGCTCACATACCCCTTCTGGATACTCTTTGCTGTACCAGCTGCTCCATTGAGCCATAAACTTGCTGTTCCAGACCAGGAAGCCCATGCCACGCAGTAGTGCAGCCAATCTTGTGCCTTGTGGTACAGGGGGAAGCTGATGAAATGGCCTCCTATCCACAATCCCACATCTGTGCCCACAGTCAGCACTAGCTCATTATCCCTTTCTTGTGTGGAGTAGGAAAGAACAGTCTGGCTGCCAGCATGCTGGGCTTTGGTCCAGAAGCATAAGGTGAAGGCTTGGAGAGACATATCATGGAGGGGATGAACGTTCACAAAACTCTCAATGTTTTCCACGGGGAAGTAGAAAGATGGAAAAGTGCTGGATTTAATACCTGAAATAACCCAAAAGCCAGCTGTTATATTTCCTGCTGTGCCTATAAATAAGCCCCAATCCTGAAGAATCCACCCGTAGGAACTGGCAGCCTTAGCTGTCTTGAGCCACGGTTACTGGTGTGTGTCATGCCAACATGGAATGGGCTTGAAATGATGAAAAGCTTAGCTCCCTCACCCAGCTACTTAGGGAAATAACTTCTTTTTCTTTCCCCCTTCTTCCCTTTTTCTAATCTTGTGTAAAATAGAGATGATGATTATTTATCCCAGGGGAACTGTCAGCTTAAATTCTTCACTGTTTGTAAAAATGTGCTTAAATGGTGCAGGAGAAAGCTGCAGTTACTGTGGCAGTAGCTGGATTAGGGCTAGCCTTAATGAGGCTGTCACTGAAGAATTCCCATCAGCAGGCCTAGGCATGGGACAAAATTCTACCTGCACATACCAGGACCAAACCTGTTAATGATTTAGGCCATCAAGGACAGGAGAGTATGGGTTCTTCATCCTTGCAAGGTAAGCTGGGCTCAAGAATAGATGTGTGTTTCTCACCTACGTGGCTCACTCCATTCAGCAACTCTCTCTTCATGTCTTGGAGCTGCATCTGGATTTGTTCCAGCCTGAGGTCGAATTCTTCTGGATGGCATTGTTCTAGAGCAATCAGACAGCTGAATTTACAGAAGACCAGGACCTGCACATGGGAGATTTTCTGCTTACTAGTTTGGGGAAACCCTTTGTTTCAGAATGCAGTGTCCCACCTCTATATGGTGCCTGGTTAACCAGTCATACCCAGGCTGTTTCTGTGGTGGTTAGGGTACCTCACCCACCTGGGTGCAGACACGCCTGAACCTAGTATGCCATTTAGCACCACTTATCTTGGGAGATCTGTGTGATACTTCTGTGGTCAAAACAAAGGGCTGGCACACAACCTACAGCCACCACTGCACCATTAGAAGCAAGACGTGTTGGCAGGGGGCAAAGAGGCACTGGACCATCTCCGCCTGCTCTGCAGGGGTGCTGCTACTCCTGGGAAAGGTGAGCTCCAGCATGCCTAGCTTAAGTGATTTGCAGGTTAACTCCCTCCACACTGGTTTCTTGCCCCTGCCCAGGTAACGTGTGAGTCCTGCCCCCCTTGAGTCTCTTTACCTTGGGTGGCTTTGGCTCTGAAGGAGGCCTCCACCACACGCCCATGGAGGGGCTGAGTGTGCCGGTAGTCGTTGCGCAGTGTCCTGTTCTGCCAGTCCAGCAAGGTGTTCTCCAGGAGGCTAATCTGTGAGCAGCACAGGCTTATCAAGGAGGGCAATGGGGACAATGGTTTTACCCAGAAGGGCAGTGCTCAGGATTAAACCTAGCAATCTGTTATAGGGGAGCCCACAGGGTCTCTTGGTTAGTATTAGCAAGGGAAAGGAACAGAACATGAGGGCTCTTGCCAGTTAATTCGTGGTAAAGGTATTTTGCCTGAAGGAAATATTTTACACCTGCCTGATGCTATGCATGGATGGAGATTTTGCTGCTGTTCTGTAGGATACTGTGTTCTCACAAGTGCCTATTTGCCTTTCTCCTGCCAAAAAGAATGTTTCTTTTTCAAATGAGAACACGCTGTGACTCTCCACTACTGTAATCTCCATTTATTTTGTTATTCTCCTAGAAGAAAATGTTTCTGATGCTTCTCTTTCATTAAGGAGGATGAACCACTCTGCAACTCAACAGTAAGCTTATTTGACTTGTGTTGGTTTTTTCCCTCTTAAAGCCTTTGTCCTGACAAGGCAGGCAGAGAGAAGGGGATCCTGCCATGTGATGGTATTAAACTACTGGGAGAAGTGGGGTTACTGCCCAGTGCTCCTGTGCAATGCCTCCACTGGAGCCTGGATGAACCCTCTCCTATCACACAGCCAAAGCTCATGACAGGCTGCACCTGGAATGATCCAATCTAGCTGCACGGTGTAAGTATAGACAAGAAAAAGCCCAAAATGCTCTTTAAAAACGTGCCAATGATTTGAGAATTATTTTAAGGTTAAGAATGGCTCTTTTATGTTTTTTGGGGGAAGGGTTAGACTTTCTTCCAGTAGTTTTTGCCTTGTTGATTCTGACTGGTCTCTTCCGTTTTATAGTGCTTTAATATGGTTGAGCTTAACTGAGCAGAGAGCTTTGTTATTGCTCACCAGACCTCAGGTAAACTGCTGCTATACAGAAATGGGCCCTTGCTCTGATGTAGCATTACAGTGTCATTCTAGCCACCTGCAATAGCAGTTGCTTAGGAGTCTATCCCAAAAGCCCAGTATGAGAAGTGCCTTATTAGCTCCTCTGTCAGGCTGTTCCCCAAGTTATCAGAGGACAGAAGAGGAAACTTGGATGAAAAGGAGACATGGAGGAAAGAGAAGCTGCTCTGTCTGGTAAACAGCCATCACTTACCTGTGTGTGTGACAGGAGAATTGGAGAATGAAAGATGGTCCAGATCACACTCTCAGAGCAAGGTGGGGTTGTCAGTGAGCCCTGGTACCTGTAGAAGTGTGAGAGGTTTTCTGGCAGCATGGCTTGGATGTCCAGAGAAATGAGCTTTGTCGATTGACCTCAAAAGGAAACAGAGGGGGAATATTAACAGCTAATGGGGATCAAAGAGAAAGGAGAAAGCAGTGTTAGAGCTGGGGCTGGCAAATCACTCTACCCAGAGCTCTGGTGTATTAGACTGTTGGCAGAAGTGGATGAAAGAGGGAAATAAATGGTTCTTTCAATGGATCTATTTGTCATTCAGACGTATGTGGGGTGCTGGAGGTGGTGGGCAACTGCACCTCAGAGCTCTGCCAGTAGCTGTTAGTCCTCCCAGGAAGCAAAGTGTGTTAGTGCATCAGGGCATCTTAATGCAGCAGAGCATTTGCTATCTGGGCTTGCAGACTGAAGGATCATAGAAAGCTGTTATTTGACAGTACTGCAGTGTGATGTGTAGACCTACCAGGAGGATGTTTATTGCTGCCTTAAGCATCTCCCACACCACTCTGCTGTGTGGGCTGATGTTTAAGCTACATGGGCAGGCACAGTGTGAAGTTATGCATGGCTGAGGGTGCATGGCAATGTAACCACAAGCAAAGAAGCTGCAAAATGTCCCCAGACCCAGTACACATGTACAGGCTTTGAGAATAGCAAGGATGGAGAAAAGCATTCCCAGGTCTTACCTGCAAACCTGATTTTTGCCAGTTTGGAAATGAATTCAGTGTAGTAGGTATTCTCAAAGTGTCCATCCTAAACACAGCATAGCAACTTGAACAGGTTAGTGACCTGCCTGTCCTTCAATACTGTTAATCAGCTTGGGGGACTAATTGAGGAATTGGAAGACAAAGAGAACAAATACTGTCTCAGACATCTTGGTATGAAAAGTTACGTAGATCTTGGTAGAATGGTGAACTGCAAGGATCCTTTTTCACCACTTCTAAACAAAATGAAGTGTTCCCATTTGCAACTCAGAGCAAGGTCTTAAAGTGCAGCAGGGAAAACCCTGCTGCCACACCTGATATTCCATGTGTACTTATTATGGGACAAATTTATCTGGGGCTCCCAGGTTGTATTGGCTGGTATTGTGTGAACCCCAGATAGCGCAAGGAAAGAATAGTCCTCCTAAAGCACAACTTCCTCAAGCTGGTGGCAGATATCATCTCTTAGGCGATAGGTGTGCAGACCTAGTACAGGCTGTTTGTGCCTGGGCTGTGATTACAGTATGAACAGGGGTCACAGACTGGCCTTGCTCAGCAGCCTGGGCATCAAACCTACCGCGTACAGGAAGGCAAGCACAGCCAGGCCATTTGGCTTGTCTTTGGCTTCTTCAAAGCTCAAGTAGTCAGCTGAGTTGTAATGGACAATGTGCAGCTGTCAGAAGAGAGACAGGGTCAGCAAATGGTTTCCTTGGTGCTTTAAAGGACACTTAAAAGGTGCTTAGAAGACTGAAGGGAGAGTCACCAATCCCAATGCCTGCTGCTTTTCCGTTGCAGCACAGCCAAGTAGACCTTTAGTTTAATAGGTTTGTGGTGAATGTGGGGGAACAACTCTAGACTTGAAGGACATTAGTGCTATGGTTTTATTAGTCTCTTACAGCAGCACCGTCAGGCTGAGCTGTTGCATTGCACCAACCACCTGTACTGGTGAGAGCCCTGTTCCTCCCACTTGCCTCTGCACTGCTTGTGCAGCCTTTGTGGGCTGCAGCTTCCAGTTTCCCAACTGGCAGAGCTGCAATGCCCCCTCCCTCCAGCTCACTGCATTCACAGGTACCTCTGCGAAGTATCTCATCCCGTCTATGGTGTGCTCAGAGCCGCTGGTCTCCAGGTCCAGGCCACCCCAGTGCAGATGCATCTGTACAGCTGTGTAGAGGCCTGGGAGCCCTCGGGAGATGTGCATGGTGGGTGGCAAATCAATCTGAACTGAAAAAACAGGATTGGAGACAGCAATGGGTGCAGCCATGCCCATTCTTGTAGTTATGCTTCCAGTGCCCAGTGCTTTCTGCCAATAACTCTCCTGAAATAAGCAGGACTAGGTATGTTCAGGGAACTAACTCCAGTATACAAGGAAAACCACTGAAGCTTATAGCTAAGTGTGCATAAAATCTTTCCTGACTTCAGGCTTGTGCACCACAAAGACCACACCAGGCACAAAGATGACTGGGCACTAGCTGTGTCTGCAATCCTTCCTAGCTGAGCAGCTAAGGGTTTTTAATTGGGCATTAAAAGTGCTTTAATGCTCATCTCTCACACAGTGCATCACATCTTGCAGGGTTCTGCACAGATTTAACTGCTTTATTTCCAAGGAAGAAAAGGGGGATAGAAATCAACAAAGTGACTGGCCTCCTCTAACCTGCCATCATCATTTCCAGTATTGTGGAATCTCCATCTTCTAGGAAGAGGCATACTGGGCCAGAGCTCTGTAAGTTTGAAAAGGCTATGTTAATGCTTAAAGGATTTGTAGAGACAAATCTCTTTGCTTCTCCTTGCCAAGGAGTGTTCACAAAGAGACTATGAACCGTTTGTCTTCCTGCTAATATACTGCCACATATCGTATATTATGTTAATAAATATGCCAAACCTAGGAGGGAAAATGGGAATTGCTCATCCTGATGAAAGCCCACAGCATGCTATAAAAAATAGCAACTATCCTTGCAAAATGTGGCACACTATATGATTCATTAGTCACAGATTCTGTTAGGGAGAAGCTTCTTTTGTTTGTAAACTGTTTCCAGACAGAGAAGATGAAAACATATTTCCTTGTAGTATCCTAAAGAGCCTAGAGTGTGTGCATGGGGAAATCTACCTTTTTACACAAGATCCCTGCTGACTGCCTTCCAGAATTAGGGTTATTTGCCTCAAGTACCTCACTCTGGTTTCTACTTTCTACGAAACACAGCCAGGGAATTGTGTTCTGAGTTTATGACAAGCTGAAGTCTTCTGTAAGATATTTAAAGCAAATATTTGCTGAAAGCGTGAAGGCAGGTAACAGCCCTCTCAACTAGGCTTTATCAGGTGGGATTTGGCTTGGTAATTATGAAACCAGAGAGAAAGTGTAGCTGGTTTCTTAGGTGGAATAGTTAATCTTCAGCTTCTCGGAGCTTGTAAAGAGAGTCCTGCTGATAAATCCATCTCCTGTCCTTTCAGATCTGCTGAATGGTTTCTGCTGTGGCCCAGTGGAATATTTTCCCTGAGAGATATTGCTACCGTGTCCCACCTCACTGATGCCAGTAAGAAAACCCTGCCTGACTTCACAGGAGCTGTGAATAAAGCACCATTATGTGCCTTTGTGCTTTACTAATATGCCCTGCATGGGAAAACCATTGTTTTGATGTTAACAAAAGCATAGGAAAACAGACACGTTCAAACAGATCTGAAAGCTACACCTGCAGGAATTCATTTGTAGGCAGTCAGGGTGGTAATGCTGACATGAGAGCTTTAACTGAACGTTGAGCTTGTGTAGGCAACAAAGAGGAGTTAAGGTTTTAAGGAAGGCAATCACCACAGTCTTCCTCTGAAGGCGGTACGTGTCTCATCACTTCATTTCCCTGCCCTCACACCATATTTCTCTCTGTCACTGTTACAGAGAGGAAGAAAAGGCTGTCGTGTGGGATTAAGGAGCTACCAGCTTTGTGTTCCAAACACCTTCCCAGAAACACTCATTCTCTCCCCACTGCAGCTATCAGAAAATTCTCTCATTGCTCATCTGTAGTCCAAAAGCATTATCCCAACAGCAGCAGCTGATGAATTATTTAGGCAATGAATTACGGACTGCAGCAGGGGAATCCAGGACCTCTTAATTTATAAACCTTGTCCTGAGACTGTGTGGCCAAAGGCAAGGCTTTTAACCCATGCTGTGCTTCAGCATTTCTTCCCAAGACCTGAAATACCAGTTCTCTGACTATAAGGGAGGGTTTCTCCTCTGTGTTGTACTTTGTGTGACCTATATCTACCCAAAGCTCAGATGCAAACCTGCCACTGAACTATGGTTCTCCAGTCCTATCATTTCTTATTATTGCAAAAGGTGCATTTTCTAAATGCAGAGAGGAGTCAGTATGCCCCAAATACCACTCGCTGCTATAGTCCTGCAGTCTTGTACTCCACTGAATGGAAGGGTCAGTCTGTAATGCTCTAGCTGCCTTTTATCCCTTTATGATGTCTAACAGAGAAAATATCTTGCAGAAAAATAACTGGGTTTTTATTTCTCTGGTTTATAGATGTGTTTCTGAGGAGCTTTCCTGTATGACTGGGGAAAACAGCAGAACTAAGAGAGCAGAATGAAGTGAGACGTAAAGCAAAGTAAGGTGAGTTCAGGAAAAAAAAAGGGCATTGTGTGTGAATAGCATTTCAATCAGCTGAAATGAATAATCAGCACTGTCACGAGCCTGACATCCTCCCAGGACATCTGCTGAGCTAGGGAAGAAAATACTGCCTACTGCTATGGCAAAGCTGGCTCCTTCCACCCCATTTCAACCTGGTGACACTGGCTGGCCATAAAAAGTTTGTGACTGTGTTCTAGTTAGGACAGAGTGCTGAGATGAAAACACAGGAACTATTCCCATATCCTGTGTGTGCTGGGACTGCCAGGTGAAACCTCCAGAGGATACACCTCTGTCTACTTTATAGCTTAAAGGTGGAAAGCTGTCAAGTGCAGGCATCTCTTCTATTAGCTGTCCCAGCAGGAAGGTACGTGCTTTCTCCCATCAAATGCACTGCAGGACTCAAAATGGTGTGATGCAAACCTGAACTGATCAGGTTGCTAACAAAGAGGTTTGGATAAAAGGGGTAAGTTTTCAGACCTACCATTGAAGACATCTCCATTTCAAAGACATAAGGCCTCTGCTTTGCTGCTGCTGACCTGTACCCTGAGCTGTTGGCTGCCAGCATCATCCACTGTCATGGAAACAGTGCATGGGATGTACCTGGATGCTGCATGTACAGTGGTCCATGCATGTACAAAGCCATGGCTCAGGGGGCAAAATGGGGCTGAAGGGGACAGGCAGCACTAACTTCTTGGTGCTTTGGAGCTTCTCTTTCCAACAGAAAGGTGACTGACAGCTCAAGCTGCTGCAGGACCAACTGAACTCCTTGAGCTGTGTGCCCTGATTTCTGTTTCAGGCTGTTCCTTTGCCAGCAATGACCTTTCGACCAGCTCCTCTTTTTAATGGGAATAATGGCAAGGATCCTCCCAGTCTTACCAGAGTGACCATTGTTGGTCATGGTGAAATCCCCCTGCAAAGGCCCATCGTAGCCACTCAGCTCCAGCTGCAGCAGCTGGGGGTTGTACCTCACTTTCTTCCTCTGGATGTCAACTGGAGATTGGCGCTTGCCAGCACAGTCTGCAAAGTGCTTTCCCCAGTGCTCTTCATCCAGCTCTCCTTCTGTGTGGAGGAGAAGCAAACCAGGTTATTAGGACATGGTGAGAACTGTTGTTAGCTCAGGAGTCGAAAGACTCTCATTTGCCAGCAGGGCATGTCAATCTAATTATTATAACACCAGGAGCTGCAGCAATAAAAGGTTGCTGTGCCTTCCCTAGAGTGAAAATATACATTATTCTGTCTGCAGGACAGCTGTGATGCAAAATAAGAAACCTGCATTGCAGTAATAGCTTACTGATCACTGGGGACTGAACTGCCCCCAGTGTTTATACAGAAACGGAGATCTAAATGGGTCTCAACTGCCAAAGGTGTGGAATCAGGTTCTTAACCTATGCAAGAGTGAATAGGACCAGGGCTATAGGTGGAAAGTCTGCATAGGGTCAGGAAGTGGCAGCAAATTTGCTATGTTTAACTACAGAGAACTAATAAAAGAAGCATATAAAGAAATTCAAACCCTTTCAGGTTTGAATAAATTGAATCTTTTGTATGTTTTCTGGGATAGGATTGGTCTGGGGTGGCTTTGATGTCTTGGGAGAGTTTTCATTAACAAAACACACCTCTCTACTGAGTGCAGAGCTGTACCTCTTCCTGGGTTCCCCTTTTTACACACAACAAATAGTAAGTGCTTCACTTAGTGTATCTAGTGCATTCCAGGATAAACAGATCCTGGTGTGGAACATGACCTGGGTGTCCCAATGTCAAGATTCAGTTGATTGCTCTGAGCTCTTGATGCCACTTCAGCTCCAAGGCCTAATAGCCCCTAAAGGTCATGCCAAGTGTTAATAGCAACTCCTTTTGCTGCTCAGTGTCACTAGCTCAGACACAGACCTTTGACATGGGACTAAGCATTAAAGGCCATAGCTTCACCTGCACATGCTCATCATCTCTGCAAGTGTTTAATACTAAAAACCTCCTCAGGTCACAGAGGTCAGAAACAAATGTGTAGGAGATCTGGTGTGCTGGATGGTACCCTTTTTCCGATGGCTCAAAGCCTCTTAGCCCTCATGTGAATCTTTCCTGCAGAGGACTGGGTGCTGTTGAAACTGAGCAACTGCTTGAACCCTTCAGGGCTATTTGCCCTTTCCATAGTGCTATATTTAGGACTTGAAGTAGAAATGTTGATGCCATCTCTGTCATGGCTGTAACTGACAACCAGTAAGGAAACCTTGTCTTCCTCAGCCCAGAACTGAGACATATTGATTAATGTCAGTCATGTCTGTCTGAGACAAACAGAGCTACACCTAAGGAATAATCCTTGCGTGATTGTGGAACTCACAGACTTCAAATCCTGCAGAGATGGGTTGGAAGGAGAGATGCTTATTATAAAAAGGAAAATGATTCGAAGCTACTTCCTCACCTTCCTAATTTTCAGTTATAATTACAGCCATACCTGAGGAGTTGTTACTATTTGTTAATCCTTTTTATGTCATTGAAGCAATGTCAGCTTGCAGGTGTTTGTTTCCTGACATTGATTAAATATGGGCTACTTAGGAGATGCAGACAGCCAGAGAGAACTTCTGCAAACAGCTTAGTGCGGTATCTTAATTGCAGTATCTCATCTATTCAACAATATCCTTTGCTTTATCTTGATTCCCAGCCCACCGAAGATCATAAAAGGACTGTGATTTATTTCAATGAGCTCTGCAAACAACCCCCTTATGGAAGAAAATCAGATAAAATTTCACAAAGAATATAAATACATAAATAAGCACTTCTTAGTGATCTGCACTGTATGGGATACGACAATAAAACAATAAGTAGGCAGTATTTAAAGCCTTTCCTTCCCAGATCATCCAAAGGGCAGCTTTTATTTAAACACATGTGAAGGTTTCCCACATTGTTTGAACCTCCTTGGTCTGCCAACTCTGACAATGTGTCCTAGACACACAAAGGAGTAAAAAGGGGTGACATTGAAGAGAATCACTTTCAAGACACACAGGCATCAATAAAGTGGAATAAATTAGGTGCTCTGTGGAGATCTTTCACTAATGGAAAGAGACTCGAGCTGAGTGTTGCTTCTGCAGCACAAAAAGGATGGGAGTGTCTTAAGTAAGCAGTAGAGAACCCAAACCAGCCTCATTTTTCATTACCTTTGTATGTCCAGTGCATTAGGTCAGAGCAGCTTGGGTACACCAGGAGCAGGTAGAACAAGACAGCTGTGATCCACATGTCTCTCACTGTATCTGCTGTAAGAACCAAGGAGGAGAGTGCATCTCTTTAAAATCCTCAGGAAGCATAAATACCAATTTACTCCAGGTCTGGCCCTTCCAGCACCCATCCTGCCCTTCTACCCATCCAAAACAATACCAGCAAATAATGCCCCACAGATATTTTATTTAGACAGTCAGCTTGAAACACTGAGGACGCTTTACTGACCCTCTGACCAAGCTGTCTGTGCAAATGGAACAGCTTTACCCCCTCAATAGCCAAAGCTGGTGGCCTCAGAGTCACTGTCTGTCCCCAGCTGTAGACAATCCTGCCCACTTTTCCTGTCCATTCATTCCGGATGAGCAGGTTGAAAAGCTTCATTGCAAGGACCTGTAAAACAGTGCTTTGTAAGGAAAGATACCTAACACAGACCTCCAAACACTGTCCTGAGGTGGCCAACTGTTTCCTTGTTACACAGAGGAAGGAGCTAAGGCAGAAGGGACTGGTTGTCAGAAGTGCAGAGCATTCGCACTCTTACTAGAAGTCAAAATAGTAGACACTTAGCTCCTTTGAAATTATGCTTCTGAGGCCAGGTTGAAAAATGCTCTTATAACTTAGTATTTCAAAGCATTTTGCTTTCAACACCTTCCCCAGTCACCGAAAATCTAGTTTTGAATGGGAGAGATTTGCAACCATTGGAAAATTCAGAGTTGTGGAAAAACATTTAGGCTGTTGAAAGGATACAGACGTGACACAAGATACTGAAACCCTGAAGGCTTTTTAAAACCATACAGGAATTCAGATAAGAACTAGGAGGTATCAGATGTCCAAATGCTCTTCTGGACTACAGGAGCTGCTCTGCACATCTTCAGGCACTTGATTTCCTTAAAAATGTGTCCTGAGCAAATAATTGCCCGAGATCCAGTAAAAGAGTAATTTCAGCAGATGAGGGAACAGGCCATGGATCTTCTGCCTGCCTTTTGTATCCTGTTACTAGGCAAATGTCATTCCCTTTGAATAGCTTTCTCCCCCTTCTAAGAATGACACAGAGTGCGCAACAGCCCTTTCCAGCCTCTCAAACCCTAAACCCACTTTAAGAACAAAAGGGGAGCAGAAATCTCCCCAGGAATGGAATTTTCACCTAGTACTTAGCACACACAGTACAACTTTGCTGTTGATTGTGGCTGACAGGCAGCAATATTAAGCACTTGGCAAGAAAGCTGACATCAGTGAAATCTCAGCACTTCTGTTTGCAGTATCCCTGCCACTTGCAATGACATTTGCAGTTATGATTTTCAGCAACAGGGTGTGTAATAACAGCAATTCAACAATAAGAGCTGCAAGTGAGTTTCAGATGTGAACTCGGGTTACTAGGATTAGGCTGTGCTGAAGAACAAAAGTAGGGGGTTTATTCAAAATCTTACTCTTTGCAAGGAAATTGTTAATGTTAAAAGGTCTTTCCTGGTTTGCTGGTCTGTGCTGCGCATATTTAATCTTTGGAATTACTACTGCTGTAATATCGGTGATTAACCAAATGTGTGTCTTTTCCCCTCTCTCCCTAAAGAAGTCATTTATTCTGACAGTTGCACTGAACTGTGTAAGGACTAAACTAATCAAACATGCCCTGCAATGCACTTCATAATCCTTGTGTATCCTGTTGGGTAAATAGGCTTTGAAATTAGCTGAGGGAGAAATTTTGGGGGTTTATACTGTTCATACTCCAGGATTCCACACAGCAGCACAGGAGGCTGTGAAAAGGAGTCAAGAAGAGGAGGTCACCCTTGCACCACAGCATCCCTCCTGTCACCCTTCCTGCCTGTGTGTGCCAAGAGTGTTTGAATGGCTGTCATTTAGGGACAAGCTGTGTTTTATCGATCAGCCAGCCCAGTCTGCACAAAGGATTTGAAATAAAGCCCATTTGGGAATATGCTGGCGCCAGGAAACTGGAGATGACAGTGAATTAATTTTTAATGGAGCTTTTGCAACATGCTAGAATTGTGACATTTCTCTTGCCATCAGCAGGAGCTCTGGGTGCTCAGCAGAGCCAAAACCAACATCTCTGTTAGCTCAAGTTAGCTTCTCCCAAACTAGTGGTTACTCTGCAAGACACAGCAATCTAAGGAGAAGATTTACTAAGGGCACCAAGTATGAATTTGTTTTGGAGTTAGGACAGAACAATAGTTTTAATTAAATTCATTAAGTGTATTTGAATATTAAGCTTCTAACTCCAAGCTGAATAATAAGGAAGGAGAATAAGGACAGAAGGAGACCTTTTCCTCTATGAAGTATTGCACACATCTAGCATTGCTTATAGGTTCTTGGAGCTGTAGCTTTTTTAGTGTCTATGGTATTACACCTGGCTGGCTTGAGGCTTGTCTTTGTTAAGTCATCTCTTTTGCTACCTCAATGTAATTGCTGGAGAGAAGTATGGACATAGTGCCCAGGAACTCCAGGTATCAGCAGGACCGTGCTTGAAGTGAACTGGTGTTTTACAGGTGAAGAAGACTGTAGATCGAAGAGGACTCATCTCTGCACCCAAATTTGGCCTGTGGGAAAAACTCATGTCAACTTATCTCAGCTGTGAGTATTCTTGGCATGATTTCCTCACAAAGTCAGGCTGCTTTCACACACATGCAGTTACACAGACTTCATCCTCTGCCCTCGACTACATTAGGAAATAAGCCTTTTAGCCCACATCACTGGCTTCCATGCACTTCACTTTTATCTCTACAGTTTTCCCTGACTCTTTGCTATCTTTTAAGCCCTGCTTCTCCCAGGCTTTTCCCTCTGTCCTCGCTGGCCTGAACCTCAGCTCAAGTCTGACTTTCAGATTCATTCTAAGTATTGGTAGCCACGTTAAAACCTTACCATTGCATCGAAGCAGCTGGCTCAATACCTTAGTGCTCCTTTGACCCAGAACTTGAAAGGGTTAACTCCTTTCCCCCTGCATCAGCAG